CTGCCACGCATGCTTTCTGCTTCAGGGGGGACAGTTCTTGCATAGGGGGGTCAGTGGAGGGTTACTTAAGTTGAGAGGCCAGGTTAGGACCTGGTCACGTCCTCCATAGCGGAGGTGGTGTGGGGTCAGGGTGAGGGGACCCACGGTGGCCTGTGTGTCTTTGCAGGGGGGCCCTTGGTGTCCACCCCGGTGGTACCCCTGAAGTTCTTGTTGCCGCACGTGGCGGTGTGCTTTGGAGCCGGAGGCCAGCTGGTACTGGTGTGTCCCCACCGCCCTGCCGAGGGGCAGCTGGCCCTCGTCGAGCCATAGCGGAGGTGGTGTGGGGTCAGGGTGAGGGGACCCACGGTGGCCTGTGTGTCTTTGCAGGGGGGCCCTTGGTGTCCACCCCGGTGGTACCCCTGAAGTTCTTGTTGCCGCACGTGGCGGTGTGCTTTGGAGCCGGAGGCCAGCTGGTACTGGTGTGTCCCCACCGCCCTGCCGAGGGGCAGCTGGCCCTCGTCGAGCTATGCAGCCTGGAGGTATGCCACAACCCGGCACCCCGGACTGCCCTCGGTTCCCTTGCTGGAGCACGTCCTTTTACCCTGAAGGATGCAAACCCTGTCCATCACCCAAACAGCCTCCTTAGCAGCCTCCCCATCCCCTGCTGCCATCGTATCTCCAGCCCACACGGTCTCTGCATCGTGCCAGTCTGTGCCTGGGCATTGCTTCCAGCCTTCGGGCCCCGCATCCTGCTCCTTCAGCTCCGTAACCCTTGTCCTCCGTGACCTGTTTGCGCCGATCCCTCCGGACAGGGACGGATGTGGTCCATACCTCTCTGAAGGACAGTTCTGCTCACCTTTCTGAGGCGCTCCAGTACACAGGCCCCATCTATCCCCTGAGTCTACTGCCATGTTTCGATCTCCTGTTTTGCCTCCCATAGGAGGTAGATGCCATCTCAACAGGCGTTGCTCTCCTGGACGTTAGCATTGGGGTCCATGGGATGGTTTAGGGTTTGTGCTCTGGGGTTACCTTGAGACAGCACAGAGAATAGGTTCGCCAGCACCATTGAACCCTTGGCCAAAGGCACTGACTTTCAGTTAGCCCAGCTGGGGTTGGCCTGATTGCTAGAGTCCAGCTGCTGAATTTGCTCTTGTTTTTTAGGTAATCCTTCATGGTACAAAAGAGCTGGAGGAGCTACAGGCTTTCCCCGGGCCCCTGGCCAGGTACGCGGCACCGGCAGGTCCGGGAGCTATGTCCTACTGGCTGTGCTGGCATGGCTGGTCTGGGAGGAGATGTTAGCTCAAGGCGGACTTTAGGGTCCCCAAGGCTTTGAGCTATTGGCAAAGGCCGAGTCTAGGTTCAGATTAGGAGCCCAGCCCCTTTGCTGCAGTGTAGGTTCGTTTGGATTGTTTGTTTTGAATATTCATCGGGTGTGGGTTTAGTGTGGTTTGTATGTCTGACCTTATTTTGTACTCATGTCCCAGAGAACTGATTTTTGGGAGATCTCCTTGGATGTCTAAAGCCCTGGGTCAACCTGTGGTTTAGCTTTGCCTTAGGTTTTTGTCCCCTGAGACTGTTGAGCAGGGCAGGGTCAGACCCAGCATGCCCCCTCATCCAGTGCGAGCCTGGGGATGAACCATGGTGTAGGGCATCAGGTTGTCTCTGTGTTGTACTGGTGTTACACCAGCGTGTCTTCTGGTCACTCGGAACCAAAGCAATGAGAGAAAAGGAGTGTGCAGAAGGAGGAAAACCATTTACTGAGGAAAAGAGCTGTGTATGGCCAGAAGCTGGGTCGAAGACCCACTTGTGCCAAAGGGGATGTTGGGAATTTCCATACGATACGTCGGTGTGATTGAGTGAGGATCAACATCTTCAGCCCCAGTCCCTCTGCCTTGGCTGATCTTGTGTCTCGGCCACCCTTTCTTTCCAACTGTCCGAGTACTTTATTGTAAGGCAGCAGTTCTGCCTGGTTTGTCTGTAGCTTAAAGGTTTCTGCCTCTGTTTCAGACCCAAAGGGTTTAGGTGGTCACAAGCGTGTCGTTCTCCCCGCACGATGCCAGTTAAATAAAAGATGCTGCCTGTATGTCTGCCTGCTCCTGCAGCCTCCAACATCCACGGCTGCGACAGCAGCGCAGCGCAGCAAAGCAAAGCAAAACCAAGGTTGTTTGCAGATGGATGGATGAAAATATTATCAGGAGGGCAGAGAGAGGGTTTGAGACGCATTCTGCATCCCTGAAACACAGAAATCTGCAAAGAGTCACAAGAATGATAAAATTTAAGCATTTTTGTTCTTGGTGTGGCAAATGTGGTACGTGGTCATTGGCACTGGGGATCTTCTCTCCTCCATCTCTCACTTTGAATCTTTGGCATCCCCGTCAGTGAACCTGTGGTCACTTTTGAGTCTGAATGATGTTCTAGATGATCGCTTTGCCCTGGGTTTCTTTTGATGCCTTTCTTTGCCGCTGTAGGGAAGATCTGCACAAGGTGGATGTGATGACATTTTGCCAGCAGAAGATAGCCACAAGCTGTGATCTCTCAACACAGAGAGGCAGAGATTCATCTCTCCTCTGGAAATTCCTGGTCCTCCTCTGCCGGCAGAATGGGGTAGGTGTCCCATGGAAGGGCCTGGCTCTTTCGATCTTAGAAGTGAGACAAATTACATGCCCCTTAGGTGCCTCTTGATCCAGTTGCTATTTTCAGGTGGGGTGTGACTTAAAAGCATCCCATTTCCATAGTACTATCAATCGGTTTGATAGTGCCTGGATATGTGGAGCAAACCCTTCGCCATGATTGCTTTTCATCCCTGTGAACTACCAGCAACCCAACGCTGTCGCAGCTGTGAAAGGGACTGGTGCCACCTTCATCGAGGAGCTAGCATGGATGCCTAAAAGGGGATTATTCCCTCAACCCAATGAAATCCACCCAATCTAACGAGTGGCTGCTTGTTGGAAGCAGATTAATAGGATCTTCAGAGCGAGTGCTGTGAAGATCTTGCTAGTCGTGCTGAGTCCTTTGTCCTCCAAAACTGTGTGCTGATGGCCAGGGCTGGCCTGGCTGGGGAGATGTGCTAGGACGAGGATACAAGTCGTAAGGGTGTCGGACTGGAGGTGCCGTCAGCCTTTGCTGATGGGGCAGCCTCCACGGGCCTCGCTCCTTCCCTTCCCTTTCACAGTCCCTGGTGGGTTCAGACGTGGCTGAGTTGCTGATGCAAGACTGTGGACGCCGGGAGAAGTACAAGAGGCAAAACCCCACGGCAAACCTGATTGGCCTGACGGATGATGAGTGGATGTCGCGTCAGCCGGGGACACTGGACCTCATCACGGGGGAGGTCCCTCCCGTTGTGGAGACGCAGGCACAGATCGTGGAGAAGTTCACCAAGCTCCTTTACTACGGCAGGAAGAAAGTAAGTGGTGAGCGGGATCCAGGACACAGAGCTGACTTTTTTTGCTTGGCCCCTTTGGCCTCTCCAGGCAGGTTTTAAGGAGAAAAGTAGCCAAGAGGTGCTCTGTGGCTGTGGGATCAACCCTTCCAGTTGTGTTTGTACAGCAGGGCTTACGGCAGGGACTTCCCACCATTGGGAATTGGGATGGGGCCCCAAGCGAAGACAAGGTGCGGAGGCTCTTACCAGCAGTGCGGGTTTAGTTGCAGCTGTGTGATCTCAAGAGATACCAAAGGCACAGGGCTGGCTGCAGAGAAGCTTAGGTGCCCAGGCTGGGATCTCACAGCGGTGGCGTTGAGAGCTAACGGGCAGCACAGACCTGGAAATCCAGGAAAGACAATATTGCTATGAAGGTCCCAGTTCTTGTCATCATGCGAGGCAGACGGATAAAGAGGCTTTTGTGAACATGGAAGAGTTTTTTGGAGTGTATGAGTTAAAGCCAGAGCAGTTATGGGGGCTCTTCTCTGAGCTGGGTGAGCAGAGGGTCCTCTGGCAATGGAGGAGGGCACGGAAGCAGAGTCAGTGCAAATCCTTTTTCTGTCCCACCTTGGCTGCAGGATGCTCTGGTCTGGGCCATGAGAAACCAGCTGTGGGGCCATGCCCTCTTCCTCTCCAGCAAGATGGACTCTCGGTCCTACAGCTGGGTGCTCACCGGGTAAGTTGGAGGAGCTAAAGCGAGGTACGACGCGCTGCGACTGGCTTTGCCAAGCCTGTTAGCCCTCCGGGTGCCCTCAGCCCCGCACACTGAAATAAGAGCATTGATTTCAGCTGGACGCTTTCAGAGGGGGGCAAAGGGGAGAGGGGGCATCCATCCAGGTGGGCCTGAGTCCTCCGGGCTTCCAGATGGACAGGGGAAACCAAGTGGGGGCTGGAAAGCCGAAGGAAAGCCATTCCCTGGAGATGCGCGGTGGATTTATTCTGAGCTTTTGGCTTCGCCCTTGCTGCCCTAGCAAAGGCAGCCATTGGGGATGGGGAGGCTGAGCCATCTTCACTGTGATCCAGCCTGGTCTGAGCTGTCCGCCCCACTCGTATGAACGTTTTCTGGTGGAATTTATGTACTTAGTCTGGATTGGGTTCATCCCTTCAGGGAGAGTTAAGCAGAAATTTTCTGTCTTGTGCAACTCGAATCCTTCTAAAGAGGTTTTATCCGGGGTTGTCCTGGTGAGCCAAGGATCCTCTCTGCCTTCTCTGGGAAGCCCCTCGGGGCACTGCTTTCTTGGGGCATCTGAGAACGTGCCCTTGGAGGTGAATGAGTGTTTGGGGTCCCGGCAAAGCAGCCCTGTCTCTGCTGTCTCCTCGCAGGTTCACCAGCACGCTGGCCACCAATGACCCCCTGCAGACCCTCTTCCAGCTCATGTCGGGAAGGATCCCTCAGGCAGCGCTGGTTCGTGAGCAAGAAGCTGGTCCTGGCACGTGTACCCCTGTGCTGTCACCTGCCTGTGACACCCACCTTGCGGTTACCATCTCTGCTCACCTTCGCTCTCCCCTTTTCTCCCTCCAGAGCTGTGGGGATGCCATGTGGGGAGACTGGAGGCCCCACCTGGCCGTGATGTTGTCCAACAAGGTTGGAGACATGGAGCTGAACCACCGAGCTATCCTCACCATGGGAGACACTTTGGGTGAGCCGCAGTCTTGTAATCATGGGTGGACACCTGCAATGTCACCGTGCACGTCCACGTTGGCGTGGATGTTTGTTGGTGCCGAGATGGGGTGCGCACGCCTGTACCTCTGGAGCTGCGGTGCCTGTGCGGTGGCAGGGATGAGGTGTTGATGGATCCCACTGCCCTTCATGCTGGCAGATGTCAGGCTCAGGCACATCTGTCAGCTGCTTTTTTGGAGACACCTGGAGCGGCTGGACCCAGGGAGGGCATACGTACCTGCAGGGACGGAGACTTGCTCCAGGTGGTGGGGACTCTCGGGGATTTCACGCCAATAATGGCACCCTACAGAGCTGAAGCTGGAGCTGGACCCTGCTCAGGTTCCCCTGGTCCTACTACTGAACTGAAACCCCCTCCTAGGTACAGAAAGCACCGATCGGGGAAAAGAGATAAAAAAACAGGGAGAAGGAAGGGATCAGGGTCTGCATGGACGGGGAAGAAAAGTTGGGATGGTTGGGTTTGGGTTTTCATGTGATCTTGGGAGCCTCCAAAGCAACACTGACCACACGGTGACCGTTCTCTCAAGACTAAGTCTTTGTCTTTTTTCCTCCCACCCAGCTGGCAGGGGAGCAGTCGAAGCAGCTCATTTCTGCTACCTGATGGCAGATACTCCTTTCGGTTACTTCGGGGCGAAGGCAGACCGCATGGCTCTGCTGGGCAGCAGCCACCGGTGAGCGAGCCCAGGAGGCAGTGCTCTTGCCCAGAGTGACGTGTCCCACCTTCTCCCCGTCCTCGGGGTCTCGCTTTCATGCAAAAGCAATCCCTGTTTGTGGGTTTTTACTGCTCTTAACGTGAGCATTGCTCTGGACCTCTCCAGCTGGCACAGTGGTGGAGCTATCTGGGGACAGAGCTCTGCTCCAGCTTGCTGAACCTGCCCCTCTCCTCTGCAGTCAGGCGTTTGCCCAGTTTGCCAGGACAGAGGCCATCCAGCGGATGGAAATCTTTGAGTATTGCCAGCACTTACGGCAGCCCGAATCCTTCCTGCTCCCCTTCCAGGTAGCAGAGATGTACAAGCACATTTGGTCCAGCAGCTCAGACCCGCTCCAAAGCCTGCATCCATCCCCCTGAAGCCAGGGATTCAGGCTGCTCTCCAAGGCTTGTCCCCTCGCTGGGCTTGGGGAGTGATGGGGGGGGCTGCCCCGGCTGCGGGGCTTCTCCAGGGCAGGGCTTTGGGCAGATTTTGGGGCACGCTGTGTTTGATCAGTGCTTGCTTAAGTCTGGGTTCCTTCCTGCTCTTTGGGTAATGGATAGGCTCTTTCTATGGCAATTAAGCACCCGGCTGCGGCTGCCTCGGGCGCTGCACAAACGGGGATGGATAAATGAAGATGGTGGGGGGTGCTCTCCCCACCGCCCGGCTGATGGCTCTGGGCCGGTCTGGCCTTGCGGCAGTGCTGTGGTTTCGGGGAGTGAGGCCGGATGGCCCCATGGGCGTGGGTGGAGGTTCCCCCAAGTTGTAGGTGTCCTCTGGTTGATGAGCCCCACGCTGGGATGATGTGCTGTGATAGAGGGGACCCACGGGCATGAGCATCTCCTTGCTCACCTATGTCTGTTCTGCTTCTCTCTCCCGAGGCGTACAAGCTCCTCTACGCCTCTCGCTTGGACGAACACGCGCTGACAGCCACGGATCTGCACTACTG